TCCATATTATATACTATATCAACGCTCAACAATGTTATAAATAATGAGCAATCATTCCTAATCGCTCACGAACAAATCTCATCTAATATAACCCAAGAACGTTTTATTTGGCAGCGCTTGTATTGTTGAAATTATTTCGTTACTCGAATAAGTATCACACAAAATCTATTTCAGAATCGCATAAAACCAGTAGCCAAAAATGTCATTTCAATTAATGTCAAGTGTTTTCAACGAATCTTTTTCGGTGAACTGTTGTAAGAACTTTTAACTTTTAACCCTCATTGGAAGAGATCTTAAGTGAGTGAAGAAGGTATAATTATTTGGTTCAGTTTCTTCACTGTGACTTGTTTTCTACTTCCATTGTTTGCCTTTTAAGGAATACAACAACACAATTCTGACTAGAAACTAACCCGTATCATTCGTTAGGGAAACTCATCAGGAAGAGAGACCACACCACAGATCCATCTGAACATCACAGTACATGGGCTGCTGTGGTAGAGAAATACTAAGTCTTCCCTCGGTTTTTCCATAAGTTTTTTCACAGTGACTCCTTCCTTTCATTGATTGATTGATAATACTTTTGAACATTGCTTTTTCACGTACTGGATCTGGATCTGGATCATTCCCAACTATTGTTTTGGTGTCAGAGTGTCACTGTCAGAACTTTCTTTACCGACCCTCAATCATCGAGGAAGATCTTAAATGGGTAGAAAAGCTTTAGAAGAATGCCACTTCGCTAAGAAACCAACCTCTAACAGCTTGATTCCCGAGCTCTCTCTACAGTGACTTCTTCCTTTCATCAAGTTATTGGAATGTTAATACATCAAGAAGTTGCTTCCCCACAATCTACTATACCTTTGATAGTCCAAAATATTGGATATGCCACTACATCTGGATCATTTCCCAGCCACTATTCTGGTGATTTGTCGCTAGAACTTTCGCTACCAACCTTCAGATATCAGGAGGGATCTCAAGGGGTTCAAAAAGATATAGAAGAATACCACTTCATCTAGAAACCAACCCCTAACCATTCGTTAGAAAAACTCATCACACCACAAGCTCCTATCCAGAGAACGGAAGAGATAACCATAGAAAAAACACCACAGATTCATCTGAACATCACTGTACCTTGGTTCTATCCAACACATCGTTCCAGCGGGGGGTCCAACGTTATGTGAGCTACTGTGGTAAAGGTATATTCAGATTTGTTTTTCTCGAGGTCTCTCCACAGTGACTTCTGTCTTTCACTAGGTTGTTGGAATGATAACACTTTCGAAAGTTGCTTTTCCACGATCTACTAGAGCTTTGGTCATCCAAAATATTGGCTATGCAACAATGCCACTACATCTGGATTATTCCCCATCCATTCTTCTGATGATTTGTCGCCAGAACTATCACAAGAGATTTCCAGTGGGTCAAGACGGTAAAGGCCACTTCATGCAGAAACCAACCCTCAACCATTCGTTAGAGACACTCATCACACCACAAGTTCCTATCCAGAGAACGGAATCTCTTTTATGGTTATCTCTCATAGAAAAAACACCACAGATTCATCTGAACATCACTGTACCTTGGTCCTATCCAACACATCGTTCCAGCGGGGTCCAACGTTATGTGAGCTACTGTGGTAAAGGTATATTCAGATTGATTTTTGTCGAGGTCTCTCCACAGTGACTTCTTCCTTTCATTGAGCTGTTGGACTGATGACACTTTCGAAAGATGCTTCTCCACGATCTACTGGAGCTTTGGCCGTACAAAATATTGGGTATGTAACCACATCTGGATTCCCCAACAATTGTCGATCTAAATGAAAACCTAGTAGGCGACCTAGTACGCGAGGAGGTATTATAGCTCTTGCCTACTAACTACCTAACTAGGTTGTCATCTATTTAGAACGACAATGCTCCAACTATTCTTTCGGTGATTTGTCGCCAGAACTATCGCTACCAACCTGTTATCATAACGAGAGACCTCAAGTGAGTCAAAAGGGTATCGAAGAATGCCACTTGATCTAGAAACCTACCCCTAATCATTCGTTAGAGAAACTCATCACACCACAAGCTCCTATCCAGAGAATGAAAGAGATAACCATAGAGAAAACACCACAGATTCATCTGAACATCACTGTACCATGGTCGTATCCAAAACATTGTTTCAGCATGGGGTCCAACGTTATGTGGGGTACTGTGGTAGAGGTGCACTCAGTTTGAATTTTCTGCAGGTCTTGCCACAGTGATTTCTTCCTTTCCTTGAGTTGTTGGAATGATAACTCTCTCGAAATTTGCTTCTTCACGATCTACTAGAGCGTTGGTCGTCCAAAATGTTGGCTATGCAACTACATCTGGATTATACCCCAACAATTGTCGATCTAAATGGAAACCTAGTAGGCGTCCTAGTACGCGAGGAGGTATTATAGCTCTTGCCTACTAACTACCTAACTAGGTTGTCATTTAGAACGACAATGCCCCAACTATTCTTTTGGTGATTTGTCGCCAGAACTATCGCTACCAACCTGTTATCATATCGAGAGACCTCAAGTGAGTCAAAATGGTATCGAAGAATGCCACGTGATCTAGAAACCAACCCCTAACCATTCGTTAGAGGAACTCATCCCACCACAAGCTCCTATCCAGAGAATGAAAGAGATAACCATAGAGAAAACACCACAGATTCATCTGAACATCAATGTACCATGGTCGTATCCAAAACATTGTTTCAGCACGGAGTCCAACGTTATGTGGGGTACTGTGGTAGAGGTACACTCAGTTTGAATTTTCTCCAGGTCTTGCCACAGTGACTTCTTCCTTTCCTTGAGTTGTTGGAATGATAACACTCTCGAAATTTGCATCTTCACGATCTACTAGAGCTTTGGTCGTCCAAAATGTTGGCTATGCAACTACATCTGGATTATTCCCCAACAATTGTCGATCTAAATGAAAACCTAGTAGGCGACCTAGTAGGCGACCTAGTACGCAAGGAGGTATTATCGTTCTTGCCTACTAACTACCTAACTAGGTTGTCATCTAGAACGACAATGCCCCAACTATTCTTTTGGTGATTTGTCGCCAGAACTATCGCTACCAACCTGTTATCATAACGAGAGACCTCAAGTGAGTCAAAAGGGTATCGAAGAATGCCACTTGATCTAGAAACCAACCCCTAACCATTCGTTAGAGAAACTCATCACACCACAAGCTCCTATCCAGAGGATGAAAGAGATAACCATAGATAAAACAACACAGATTCATCTGAACATCACTGTACCATAACATTGTTTCAGCACGGGGTCCAACGTTATGTGGGGTACTGTGGTAGAGGTACACTCAGTTTGAATTTTCTCCAGGTCTTGCCACAGTAACTTCTTCCTTTCCTTGAGTTGTTGGAATGATAACTCTCTCGAAATTTGCTTCTTCACGATCTACTAGAGCGTTGGTCGTCCAAAATGTTGGCTATGCAAATACATCTGGATTATACCCCAACAATTGTCGATCTAAATGGAAACCTAGTAGGCGTCCTAGTACGCGAGGAGGTATTATAGCTCTTGCCTACTAACTACCTAACTAGGTTGTCATCTAGAACGACAATGCCCGAACTATTCTTTTGGTGATTTCTCGCCAGAACTATCGCTACCAACCTGTTATCATAACGAGAGACCTCAAGTGAGTCAAAAGGGTATCGAAGAATGCCACTTGATCTAGAAACCAACCCCTAACCATTCGTTAGAGAAACTCATCACACCACAAGCTCCTATCCAGAGAATGAAAGAGATAACCATAGAGAAAACACCACAGATTCATCTGAACATCACTGTGCCATGGTCCTATCCAACACATCGTTCCAGCGGGGTCCAACGTTATGTGAGCTACTGTGGTAAAGGAATGTTCAGTTTGTTTTTTCTCGAGGTCTCTCCACAGTGACTTCTTCCTTTCATCAGTTTGTTGGAATGATAACACTTTCGAAAGTTGATTTTTCACGGTCTACTAGAGCTTTGGTCATCCAAAATATTGGCTATGCAACAATGCAACTACACCTGGATTATTTCCCAACCATTCTTTTAGTGGTTGGTCGCCAGAACTATCGCTACCAACCTGTTATTATCACGAGAGATCTCAAGTGGGTCAAAACAGTAAAGAAGAATGCCACTTCATCCAGAAACCAACCCCTAACCATTCGTTAGAGAAACTCATCACACCACAAGCTCCTATCCAGAGAAGGAAAGAGATAACCATAGAAAAACACCACAGATTCATCTGAACATCACTGTACCATGGTCGTATCCAAAACATTGTTTCAGCACGGGGTCCAACGTTATGTTGGGTACTGTGGTAGAGGTACACTGAGTTTGAATTTTCTCCAGGTCTTGCCACAGTGACTTCTTCCTTTCCTTGAGTTGTTGGAATGATAACACTATCGAAATTTGCTTCTTCACGATCCACTAGAGCTCTGGCCGTCCAAAATATTGGATATGCCACTACATTTTTATTATTCCCAACCGTTCTTCTGATGATTTGTCGCCAGAACTATCACAAGAGATCTCAAGTGGATCAAAACGGTAAAGAAGAATACCACTTCATCTAGAAACCAAACCCTTACCATTTGTTAGAGAAACTCATTACTCCACAAGCTCCCATCCAGAGAATGGAAGAGATACAAAAGAAAAAACACCACCGTTTCATCCGAGGTTTCATCTGAACATGATTTCAGCACGGGGTCCACGATCTACTAGAGCTTTGGCAGTCCAAAGAATTGGCTATGTCACTACATCTGGATCATTCCCCAACCATTCTTTTTGTGATTTGTCGCCAGAACTATCACTACCAACCTGTTATCATCACTAGAGACCTCAAGTGGTTCAAAAAGGTATAGAAGAATGCCACTTCACCTAGAAACCAACCCCTAACGATTCGTTAGAGAAACTCATCACACCACAAGCTCCTATCCAGAGAACGGAAGAGATAACCATAGAAAAACACCACAGATTCATCTGAACATCACTGTACCTTGGTCCTATCCAACACATCGTTCCAGCGGGGTATCCTTCGTTGAGCGGGATGCAATTGGGAATGAGTCCAAGGCCGTTCGACCAAACAACCCACGATGGCCTTTCACTGGGGGGTCGGCCCGCTAGCGGACGGGGCACGCGATACCGTGTCCGACATTGTCCGGGCTGGAGAGAACGGGAACGTCTTTTGTACGCTCTAGTCCGAAAATAACTGCTTTCCATGCTCTGTGGGGGTCGGAGTGGCGGCGAGTCGGGAGATTGAGCGACGTTGCCGGTGCGGGCGGGGGGGATTTCGCGAGATTCGGGACTTTCTCTTTCCGGATGAGAGGAGCTGGAGCAACAGGGCGATTTTATCTATGGGTGGTCGAAATATACAGGGTGTCCCGATATTAACCTACCAAACTCCACCATCGGCTCCTTTGGCAATGAATAGAAAGAAATGTTTGAATGAACATGAGTCGAAAAATGTATGCTAAAGGAGCTACGGCCCCCTGACAGGGGAATATTTATACGAAACGCTATGTGATGAAATTTATACGGAACGCTATGTGATGAAATGGTGCAATTTGGTACAAGAAATTAACTTGCCATGCCCAATGCAGTAAGAATAAAATCATTTCAAAATTGATTTCTTGAGGAGTGTATAATACAGGGTGGGACTACATTAAATATTGCTCAAACTTTTTTGTATGCATATTTTTGTACAATTTCATCTCCGGTTATAAAAATCCACACCTCTCTACAGAAAAAGGTACACTTGAGTTTTTCATAGCTACTATGATTCGCAAATTGGCAACGTTATGCATGAAAAGTGCATGTAACATTTTTTAGTTCTGTAACAAGAGAAAGTTTGACATTTCATCTCTATTAACAGGTTATAAGATGTCACTTTTCAAAAATCCATTTTTTCCCACCCATGTTGATGGCTTTAGTTGTGCTAGTTCAGAAAAACAAGCCAATAAAACCGTCTCCGAGAAAGAACTGCAAGTCCTTTTATCTTCCATTCCACTTTGCGGTTACGTAAATTACGAAACAACCAATTGGTTCGCAATTTTCGTAAAATCAAATCACACAAATAGACTGAAAGATATTTGATTACATCAAAGAACTGACAATGATGCCTACAAACAGATGCCTGCAACGCAGGTGTAATTCCATCAGTTAAGAACTTCAAATTTCACGTCGATAATTTTCTGATTCTAATATCTATAATGTATCTTCTCAATATTGATTCGTCCTTCTTAGGCCAGTCATTGGGGATTTTTTTCTACCTGGAAAGGAGTCGGGAAGTTTTGAAACTTTGTAGGTTTTAGGTTTGGCGATCTAGAACTAAAATTCACAAAACCTTTTTTTGGAAATATCTTCAATACCGTGGGTTTTCCGAAAAAATATATCGAGGCGTAAATTGAAGAAAAAAAGTCCTACAAGAAAAGTTCTCAGTATATTTTTGCTAAAGTGAGCTGTTTAGGCTCAAGAGCTGATTGAATGACAACATATTCTGTTAATCTCTATAACCTGCCCATAACTATTTCATAATAAAATGGGCTATTCAATTGGTGTCTCGTTATATTTATTGCTTGCTTACTAGAGGAAATTTCCCATTACAGTATGTTCCTAGTATATTTCCGCTTCAATAGATCCTGCTTCCAAAGCACATTCTTATTTATTTACTTGTAAGTGCAAGGCGGCTTATTGTGGTAGAGCCTGCTGATGCAGGAGAGCAGGAAAACTTGTGACACTGGACGAATCCGATGAATTAGACCTGCATTCGCTGCTTGATGATTCTTTATCGACTGCAGAAGGAGAATCTGACGAGTTGAAATAAATTGACATCGATTCTAAAGCTAAGGTACCTAACCATCTCCCTGTTGAAGCTATGGAAATCAACGAGCCAGGTCTGTCTGGCCTTTGCCAAAAATAATTTTAGTGCCTAAGTGGATTGATTAGGCCAACAGGGGAAACCACGTGTACTTTACCTACCTCATGGGTGATGTGGAAATAAATACAGCATTTTAAATCGAAATTAATTGAACATGGAATAATTAATGAATTAATCGATTAATTGAATAAAATATAAGTCAGTGTTTCGTGATGAATATTTATAATGTCCTATACCTAATACACAATCATATTATTTCCGAAATTCGCCTCTATAGAAGACATAGGCAACATTTTCAATTTAGCGAGGGCATTTGTGCCTTAACGGTTTACTTTAGCGAACATATACTAGGAACATATTTTATAGGACATTTTCTCTGGTCAGCAAGCTATCAATATAACGAGAAACGAATTGAATGGCCCGTTTTATTATAAATTGTTATAAAAGATAAATTTATAAGCATATATATGGAGGTAGTTAGGGGCAGTTTATAGAAATTAACAGAATTTGTTGTCATTCAATCAGCTCTTGAGCTTAAACAGGTCACTTTAGCAAAAATATGCTAGGGATAATTGTTGTAGGACATTTTCTCTTCTTAATTTTTTCTCCCATATATTTTTTCGGAAAACGCACAGTTTTGGAGATAAATGAAAAAATCTATTTTTGGGTGTCATCTTGACAAGATGGCGGCGCCGGTGGCATGTCTCGGAATGTGCATTTTGTGAATTTTAGTTCTGGACATCCAAACCTACAACCCTGCAAAGTTCCAAAACTTCCGGCCTCATTTTCAGGTAAGCCTTATATTTGATCCCCAATGACTGAACTATCTGCCTGTCACAGAAAAAAATAGTGTATTATACGATCTTTGATTATACACGGGAAAAATATTAGATTTTAGCTCACGGTTTTTTGTCTCCCTCCGCTACGCGTCAGGAGACGACAACACAAGCTCGAGCTAATCTCTAATACTTTTTTCCCTTGTGTAATAAATTACTATTTGATCGATTTCACTCGAAAATGATACATCTGATCGATACAGAACAGGAGTTCCTATTTTCTGTAGAAGAGTGTGGATTTTCATAATACGAGATTAAATTGACACGAGAAATATGCATATAAAAAAGTTTGAGCAACATTCACTATAGTCCCACCCGGTATTATACACATTATGCAATTTTGGAAAGATTTGATTTTCACTGCATTGGGCATGGAAAGTTCTTGAACCGAATTGCATCATGTTGTCACACGTTTCGGAAATATTCAGAAAATGTAAAAACTTCACAAACGATAAGATTTCCACAAAATTCCCAATCACAAGATATGTTTCGATAACACAGTATAGCTTCATCAGGTGAAATACTGGTACAATGAACTAAACTCAAATCATATCAACTGATTATACCTGCATAATTTCAACTTGCAGGCTCTGGCTCATTAACAGTGACTGCAGTTCATATTAGTCTTGAAAAAATGTGTTATCCTTTCATTTGCGCCCAACATAAACAGACTGCGCACTGTGAATACCGATTATACATCGTTGTCAAATGTTTACAAAATCCGAAAATTACAGATATCTATAGAATCAACATCGTTTTCGCTTTTATTGTTATTAATGATACAATAATGAACGTGTACAGAATGGAAGATATTTTGGTAAAGGAAATTATCTCTTTGTTTTCAAAGAATACGACGAAAAACAGTCGCCGCCATGGATCATGTGGTAGAGGACTGAAAAAGAGTTTTTTCAATGAAAACAATGATGGTCCACGTGACCACGAAAACTAAGCACAGGAATAGTTCCGTAATTATTGGTATCGAGGTTTGATGATAATAATATCTCTACAAATTTCAGAAGTCTTTTAATCGAAACTCGAAAACATTGGATCATTATTATGCAATATTCATATAAGTGGGGTAAGTACATCTGGATTTTTTAACTCAATATAGGTGCTTATGTTACAGCCTAGTTTCAGTGAAGTGAATACTGCCTGGAATATTGAGACATATTGGTTCATCGGTAAAATCTGAAAATTAAGAATTTTTTTTATTCGAAATACGGAAGGTGGTGAAAATTGGTGAAAGACACTAGGTTTATGAAAAAAATGGTTGATACAAGATGAAAACATCAGATTAGCACAGTATACTGAATAACATTCACATGATGCACAAGAGTTTTTGCCGTGGAAAAATTTTGGCAAGAGGGTGTGTCACCTGTTATCAAATCAGTCTAGGAACATAAAAACAACAAGTATTAGCCAATTCGGGAGTTTTCGAACAAAATTTTCTCATTTTATTTATGCAAAGGGATTGTTTCTACTTATGACCATTTTAATAACTTGGTTTTACCTCAAATCTTGAAGCATCGTCGCCGTGAGTTGAACTACAAATTTGCATGGGATTTTTCCTGGTAGGTGTATTTATGATTTGTTATTATTCATTAATGTTAGATAGGAGTATGCAGTTTTCAATATCTGAAAATAAAACGGTTTGGCCAAATTCGATAGGTAATTATAAAATGTATACCTAAAGTTACCGTCATAAATTAGAACAATATATGTGTAAATTCAGCCGGATCAAATGGTGTTCAATAGTGCTTGTCTCAGGACTTGAACCCGGTAGGAGGTTTCTCAAATTTGTATTCTTTCTTAATTTTTGTGTTTTTGCCAGCGTGAAAAATAGTATATACACCTCAGGACAGAATGATATTTTTCCCTCGGAAAAAATCTTCCATTTCTGTCCCTTGATGTATAATGTACTATTATGCTCACACTCCTAACCATCTCTCAGCTATAATACATATTTGGCGATAGTGATCGATTTTCTATATTCATACAATAATACGAAGTAAATTTAGGTGGATAATTTCCACAGCCAGAGCAATGGTAATTATGTAGTGCAATTCGCATCAAAATATACTGAGAGTGTGGTATTTTTATCATCCCAATTTTTGAATGCTGATTCGATAGTAATCCAACACTTCTGAATGCAGTACATCACATCATCTATGACAGTTGATAGTGATGCAGTGGTAAACTCAACAACCGATTCACCTGAAGAAAACAGTGAGTTAGTTAAAGTGAACTCGGCGGTGATATTTAACGGAATAGTTAGTTAAAATTACCATAATATCAAAGGGAACTTCAAAATGCCGAACTTCACTTATTAGTTCAGTCAAATATAAAAAAATGTTTCTACTCACATAACTAAAATGGCATTTAGCGTACGAATGTGTACCGCACGCTAAATGATCGATTAATCACGGATTGTCGATCTGTGATTTATTCAAAATATTAAACACGTTACCATGGCAACACAGTTCATTAAATACAGCTTCAGTTATTTGAGACATGTCTGGCCTGTCAATTGTATTAACTGTCAACTGTTATTTTCAAATTTTGTATCGCAATTATTCAAACAATAGTCGTTTGTATC